CTTATTCCTCAGGCCTAAACTTCATTTTCCTAGTCAGTACATGTTGTGTTTTTTTTTTCTCCTGCAAGCAACAGGATGCTCAGTGCAGCAAGAGCATATCATCAGTTTTTAGAGCTGTGTTCCAATGTCATCTTCCTGCCTCCCAGCTAACTGGTGTAACTTCAGACGTTTTGCTTTACAAAGAACCATTTCACAATCACTGGCAAGAGTCACTGGAGGGATTGTTTTTGCTTGCTGAGTAACTGGGTTTCAAATTGGGTAAAGGGACTGGGCATGGTGCTTAAGTAATCCCAATGGCTCTTCACAATCCTTTTAAAGCTTTGAGAAACTGAGACAATTTAAAGCATCAGCATCATCACTGTGAAACCTCTCTGCAGCACTTTAAAAGACTTCTCCACTGAACCTAACTTCCCTAACTTTGGCTCCATCCTTAAGTGCAGCATGCCTTCATTGAGAACTGCAATTTATTTTGTTTAGCTCTAAGTGATGCAGCAGGTAAGCAGTAATAAAAATTAGCTTTTCAAGTCACCCAAATCATTAGTTAGCCAGTACAGCCAGTACTGATCCAAGCCAAGGAGTTACTGCAGTTAAGGGCTATAAAAGCAAGTGAGCAGTTTCATTTTACCTGCCCAAGACCCTTTACCTCCTCCCATCACATTTCTTTCATTCCTCGACTCCTGCTGTTTGTACCATCTTGAAGTCTCCGTTGATGCCACTAACACAAGGTTGGCCTTTGGCGTTGCATCAGGCAAGTTTATGACTGTGTAGGTTGGGGGAGTTGGATTTCAACTTCCTGGCATCTTTATTCAGAACAGCTGGCAAGATAGCTGCAAAACATGGTCAAGCCTTGAAGTTAACAGTAGCATCTGAAATGTACATGCACAGGTAGATGGTAAGATCAAAAGTCACGTAATAATCTGAGTCAACTGATAGAAAGGCATCATGGTGGATTATTCACCAACAGTTCTGGGAACCTCATATAAGACTAAGACATATGACTGCAAAACTTTGCATGATCAAGTCTAAAGATGCCTATTTGTGCCGCATGGTATCAGATCAGACTGATGCACACAGACGCCAAACATGCCCACCCTCCTGTCATCCTTTTTGGCATGCTCCAGTGACATCTAATCAATACAGCCCACTTTCCGGAGATGCAAAATATGACCACTGGCTGTTAGAAGTGTTCCAGCACTGTCATGATTAGACAGCCAGGGAAGAAACAGGAAGAAAAAAACACAAACATAAACACAAATATATGTGTGTGTGTGTGTGAGTATGTAGGTATGTATGTTTGCTTTAGGGTGCCACCAACTTTTTGTATGAGTTTGGGTGCTTAGCAAGGGCCTGCTGCTTGTCTCGGTAGAAGAGGAAGAACGCTGATTTTCAGGAAGTAATGCATTTGAGTTCATCGCAGCACGCTCAGGCATTGCATCAGCAACAAATAGGTGAATCTCTGGAGATCTTAAGACAGGAGCAAAACTAATCCAGCTTCTACTTCCCAGGCAAAATCCCAGGTCTGTAAGGAAACATTTTAAGAAGCCATCAGTCCACCTCATACTTTTCTGAGTCTTCCGGACAGACCACATCTACCAAACTAAGTTTTAGGCTTTTATAGCTGATGCAAATTCACCAGCTGTCACCAATAAATCAGTTACCAGTCCCCCAGAACATTAATAACAGGGTTTGGCTTTGATATAAAAGCACTTATCTACTTTTAATTAGAACATCACCTAGAAAATCGCCTATTTTTGTGCCTCGTCAAATCCAAGCTCTGGCAGGTGCTCTCCTGCCCTTTGGAGGCTGATGTTTCATCTTGACAGAGAAAACTCATTGCAGACACCTGCCACGTAGAGGCAGCTTCACAACTCAGCCTGGGTTTGCTTCATTATTCTGGGGCAATGCATGTTCAAAGCAGCTCCAACAAGAGGCAAGGTGCAGTCATGAACATCTCCAGGGTTGGAGAGCTCACAATCCTCTGACTATGTCCATTTAAAGGAAATGTAACATCAAGTGCAAACACTTACTAGAGACTTCTACACATTTAGTAGCTCTTTACTTCACAAGTCAGGATATATCTGGCCTAAGAAGAGACTCCTCATTAAAAGAAGTCAAAATGAGCCATAGTCACAAGCAGAGGAGAACATCAGGGAGATGTTACACTGCTTGCACATATGCTAAAACTAAAACAAACTGAAAAGTAGCTCTGAAAGAATTAATAGGCTTCTCTGAAGCTGAGCTTTATTTAGCTTCTGTTTCTAACAAAAGTATTTTATAGCCAGGCTGTGTGATTTAAATGTTTGTCTGGAAATGTTCTGCAGGGGAGAATGTCCATGTTTTGGAAAACACATCTAGACCTACTGAAATTTGAACTTTAGTAAGAACGGGGACAAAGCTCTATTTAAGAGCAGGGAAAGGCAAATAAAGCAGGCTGCTTCCTTCAGGGGCTAATGATGGTTTGCCTAACAGTTCATTGCTAGCAAACATGCATTAAGATCACAAGCTAAGCTATCTAAAGAATTAGGCCATTCTATTATCAGTTTGTATGGAATATGCTAATATCTCACTGAATTGCACCAGTGCACTATCATCTTGCAGCACACAAGCCTACAGCTAGAACACTCAAAGAATCTTCAGCAGCTTCCTACTCTGAAAACTACTACACATAAGTCAAAGACAAATTCATTTTAGCAAAGAGAAATACACCCTTAGTGATTCACGTTAATGTCAACAGTTCTGAAGAGGTGAAAATGGCATACCTGCATACCTCACATACCTGAGGAGATGGCAGCTGCTCTTCCACCAGACTCACACGAAGCCATGAAAGTGGACTTGTGTGAGATTTTCTAGCCCAAAAGCTTGGAAACAAGTCACATATCCTGTGGTTCCTTTAGTTTGGTGAAAAGGTAAATTACTGGCAGACGTTTGATACTAGTTTCTAGAAATGGTAGTAAAAAACACTTTAGAAAACTTCTGAAGATAGCATTAGATACCTTCAACCACAGCTTATGAAACATACACACTTCACGAAACAGGTAAGAACATTCACATAGTCAACTCGTGGAAAAATCCCTTCCTCAATGCTTTAATGTTAATCATATTCAGAAAACCATAATAACCTTCAGAAAACAGCTAAAAACACCCTACCGCATTCTAAAAATACAAAGATTTGCCATTTTGGAGTGTCAAAAAGGTGGTCAACAATTTGCAAAGCAGCAATGCTTCAGACAAACGGTGCGCCTATCTGTCTACGAGGAATCATTCACATAACCTTGTTTTCTCCCAGTCTCACTCCTACTCCTGTATACTGCATTTCAGGTAAGGCTCAAAAGAATTCCATTAGAAGGAGAAACCTGGGTTCAAATAGTTTTCAGTGTAAAAAGCAAGCAGTGTACGAACAAGTGCCAAACGCTGACCTTCAGACTTTCCAAAATTGACCACATTCTGTGAGGCTGAGGTAGGCAGCGGTGTATGAGTAAATCCAACAGTGACCCTACCTAAACCCCAGGGGAATATACAAGTTTCTGAGAGTATCTACTTTAAATATAAATATTCTGGATCCCCTGTTGTGATGCTTTATGAAAAGACAATGGATGTACAAGAAGTAGGTGGAAGAATTCTCATGGCTTGGAAGTTTCAGAGCTGAAGGAACATCATGAGCTGCTGACAGACATGGTGGTGTTAAAACACAATTACACAAATACATACCTCAACCTTAATATAAGAAAGATGACATGAAACATGATTAAAAGCTGTCCTGGGTGCAATCAATTAACCATTTTTATTCTGAAGTTCTCAACTTCCTACAAACTGTATTCTTAGTGATCTTACTGGTGATTTCGTAGTAAGTCATATTTTTGCACATTTCCCCAACACACTCCCATATTAAGCCAAGGAAAATACAGCCCAGTGTTCTTGGTGTGCCAAAATCCCCAGAAATTGCAGCTGGAACTGTGAATGCAGCATCACTGGTCATAAGTTCATAAGAAACACTGGAATCCACTTAACTCAAGAACATTTACTAACTCCCTTTTGTAAGACATCTAGGTGATACTATTGTACTATACAGAAATGAGTATGTTTGGTTTATTCATGATTTCCATTGTGAACTTAAGACAATTTTCACTTTGAGTTGATGTGAAAAGGATCCAACAGGAGAAACGGCAGAAAGCACCAGTGTTGACTACAGGAACGATTCACTGCAGACTGTAGAAACATTTACCAACCTTCATCCACCTACTGCTGAGCCTTTATGTTTTAATGGTGCACATAAACTTTCAGAAACCAGCACCAAAACAGTTAACAGGTGTTAGTGCCTTCCTCGTTACTTTAAATAATGAGAGGCTGTGGAACAAGACAAGGTCTTGTAGCTACCCCAGATGGTGCACTGAAGCCATGGCAGAAGCCAGGTGTACATTCCTCACTTCTGCCAAACAGTTACTAGCCCTAGGCTAACATCTGAAAGACTTACATTAGGAGTCATCTAAGAATACTTTCAAACCATCACAATACCATTTAACTGGTTAGAAATCAGAAAAGGCAGCTAAATTCCAAAGCCTGCTAGTAAGACAAGTGAAAAAGCATTTGCAGGTTTGTTTGGGGACACCCACACAAAGCAGGAAAGCCTGTTATTACAGCACCTTGTTTCACACAAGTGCAAAGAGAGATAAATCTCTACTACTGAAGTCAATACCAATTCTACTTCTAAACAGGGTATGCTGCATATTTTAAGATGCTTTTCCTAGATCTCAGTGATGTTGAATTCCATAAAACATCTTGCACAAATGCATTCAGTACACCCCAATTCTTAACACTTTCAGTAGCCCACAGCACAGCAGCTTGTGATGCAGGAGACAGAAAAGCCTAAATACAGCTAGACTTAAACAGCTGCCATCAAATTCCATTCTGCAGAATTAAATAAGCCTGTAGCTCACACTTATCTTCTGTTTGGGGCTCATCGATGGACTGCATTACTTATTTAAAATAATTACAAAACAGCCTTCACATTTTTTATTTTTTTATTAGGTTTATTATGACTTAGAGTTTCTATTACTCCAGTTGGGTAAACCACATTTGAGAATAAGTTTAACTGCAGGACTTCAGTTTCAGCCAAAATCATTTTTGCATTACTTTATTGTAATATAACTTTAAATTTAACATTTAAAACGTATTTCATTAATAAGCAAGCCAAGCTCAGTAGCTTCAGTGCAGGATGTACTGTATGTAACTTGCCGCACATTCATGTTAGATTTGATGTACATGGAAAAAAGACCGGTCAACTATATGATTCATAAGAGAAAGCAAAAATAAGCACTTCCTTAAAAATCAAACTAAACAGTCCTCAGTTCAGTGTTTCTTTAACATCAACTTACTTCTGGCTCCAGGAGCTAGTTTTGGTAACAGCAGAATGCTGCTTTCCAGAATTACACTTTTCTACACTGACACGAAATAATCTTCAAAGCAAAAGGTACTGAGCTTTAACTTCAGTTTTCTCGAGACAATCTGTTCTCCCATTTACCAGGTGAATATGTGCATTTTGGATTATTCCAGCAAGGGTTAACAGAGCAAGAAACAATTGGGGCTGAACAGAAAAACAAGTTGTCAAGTATTTAAGGTACAGGCAAAAATATCACTGCAATTAGTTTAAGACTGTTTTCTCCTCAAAGAAAAAATGGCACAAATCAAAGAAAGCCAAATAAATGTAGTTCTGAGTGGTAGTAGACTGAAGTAATGCTTCAGAACATTAACAGGATAGAACTGCAAGGAAGGGGAGACAATCTGAATGGGTTCTGTGTATTTGGGCTAGACCAGAAGCACTGTTAATAGTTCAATCCCTGTATCAGTATGTTGCTACCCTTACTACACAAAGTGTTAGAAGTTGCAGAGCATAAGCCTCTCAGTTGTACAAACCAGTTAATGAATAAACAAAACAGATGAATGATTTCCACATGTCTTTTCTGGTCAGGATTCCAGTCTGTGACTTTTCATTTTGTGATTCTTCATTTAGGACAGAGAAACTCCTCTATCAACAGCCAAATAAATATACTAATGCTTAGATACTTAAAAGTTTCAGTTCAAAATGCAGTCAAATGAATACTAGCTTTATGCAGCTTTAATATTTTACATAAAATAATTCTTATGAATCATAGTTAATAGCAGTAACTGAAACTAACATATACCAAGTCCTTCAGGTGATGTGCAAGTTAAGCTATGTAACACAGGTAGGGAGTTTAGAACAGGTCTTACCATCTTGCTTTGCACAGTTCTTATACTTGCCCCATAAACTACAGAACCTCTAGCTACAATGTTGTGCAAATGTTGACATCCTTAAGAGCTCTTCAATGTAAAAAAATATGATGGAAGCACCACAAAGCAAGGAAGTTATGCTCCTAAGAGACTTGAATTCTTAAAGTTTTTAAATATCAATTACTGTCTTGCCTCATCTAGCAACCACCAATGAAAGAACATCAGGGCAAAAGGAAGCAAGACTACAGTCAAGTCTGCCTCAAGTAACAAGAAATACAAAGATCTGACTCTACAAGCACATAAGCAGAAGTCTTAAGAGCTGTATACGAATGGAGCTCAAGGTGCCATAACTATTAAGTAGGACACCAGAATTTAGCACTGTGGATCTAGAACAGCTGCATTTCATCCAAGATGAGTCTATGCTTCCAGTTAAGCATGTATACCACCTCACTAAACACCCTTCCCCAGCTTGCAGGTCTGAGCTCCTTGTTTTCTTATTCCTCCTGTATTATTTATTTTTTAGGCAGAGATTCAGAGGCCCTAAGAGCCAGTCTCCACCAAAAAGACTCCTACCTACATGTAAAAACAGAAGTTCTTTGAGATTGATATATCCATCCCCATTCAGAAACTGATTTGCAGCCAATCAATCTTGATGTCTACTTCAGTTTTGGTAACGCTTACTTTACGGCAGAGTTTGATCCTATGAATGTAAGCTCAACACAAGAAGAAAGCCATTTATCCTTTTTAATTCATCCTTACAGCATGTTTATCCAGAACTTGTTAAAATCAACTTCCAGTTTTAAATTATTTTCTTAGCACTTGACAGAACCTGCATTGTCACCCCCCAAGAAGGAGGCGGCATCACAGAGAACCTTGAGTTAGTCCAAGTTCCCACTTGTGACCAGAAGTCTTACTTGTTAGACAATATCCTTCCTCCAACTACTCCCCCTCACTCCCTCTCCTCCCACCCCTCCCCAGCAACGGGCAATTACTCCACAAGAAATGTAAAATGGGATATGGGTGTACACAAAGCCTACCCTTCACTAATACTGAACAGAAAAGCCTACTTTCCAATTACAGGACATCTTCCTCTAAATTTAGGTCAGCACTGGTGCAGTCTGCACTGTGTATGATTACCACAAGGATAATACCAATAAGTACATATATTTCCTCAAACTGAAGATTTAAAAGTCTATGAAGTTAACTGGGGAAGTTTTATATTGCTACTTCAGAGCACTAAACACACAAAGTGAACCCAATAAAGATCCTTGTATTGATTCAATATTAAGTATTAATTGCATGACCATCATAGCACCTCTTTACATTATCACACAATCACCAGAATTATCAACTGCTTTTAAAACTAAAAAGGGTACAGTCCAATATTTATAACTTGCACACTGTTACTATAGAGAAACTAGGTGCATGGTACAGTGCTGCAAAAATGGAAGCCTGCAGTTTTGACAAAGATGCCAAGTCATGTAGTAGACAATTTCAGTCAAACTGGCAATACTGTTTAAGCAAATACTCAACACAGCAGGAAATAAAGGACAAAAAAAGCATTCTATAACCAAATAAACGTCTGAAATTTCCTTTCCCTTTAAGAATACAAGTAAGGTCACTTTTAGCCTTGGAACAGATACATGTTCGCCTATGATGATCTTGCTAACTACTACACAATATCTGATGTCCTCTGCTAAGAATATAGTTTAAGAAAGCCGCAGATACAAGAGGCGTCTAATGTAATACCTAAAATTTTTTTTATGGCAATTATTGAATTTGTCTTAAACAGTGAATATGGGAAGATGGCCTCACGTTTCCTTTTCAATAGTACTCTGAGGATCAAGTGGCTTTCAAGCAGCATGGTGGGTTTGAAATTTATGCAGTTTAGATCATTCTGTTGCGTTTATGAGTTGGTGAGTCTGTAATGACATCGCCACACTGGGCTGAGGTACGCTTTCTAGTTCCACCATTGTCCAAGTGGAGTGCCATTTCTTCTGATATGAAAGTGTTCAAATCAACATCATGAAGTCCGTTTCTCCTTCGACTAGCATTGGAACCACTGCTCACGTGAGTAGGAGAGCCAGGGGTACTCGAGCGAACACTTATACTAGCCATTGCACCACTAAGACCTAAGGGAAGAAAAGAAAGAACATTTAGGACATGCAAAGAAAGTAACTTCCTGCGCATACAGGGACAACATTTATCTGACTTAGTGATACGTTACAGGCACTTCATCCTATTATTTGTGTCACACAAGCTTACTTGAAGGCCATATTGCACCCTCCCATCTTTTTGCTATGCCTTCTTAGCTTTTACTAGAATACAGAAGTTGGAAGAGCCCCTTCTTAGAACATTTGAAGTGAGTTTATACACCAGGTTGTAGAGGCACACCACAGCAAATGCTTGTTCCATAAGCAGATGACAGGCTAGTCATAGTGTGAAAACACTCAAAGGAAGGGTAGTCTATTCCATGTGATGGCTTCAACCTAAGCCATTTCTTACACAGAAGGAAACTTTCCCTACTAATGGAGTTAATTACAAAGTTGACTTAGTCTTGTTTCAAAATCCCCTTAAGTTCTAAAGGAAACTACAGCATGATAGCACATCACAGACAGGTTTGTAAAGCAACTGATTTAAATTATTTAAGTAAAAACAATTGCAGGGCTGTTGCCACTATTAGCCAACACATTAGTATTCAGAGCACTTAAAGCAGAAAAGCAAGACCACATGTCAATTGACCAAAATTCACTACTGGCAAATCTGATCCAAAAGTGTCACACACTCCCTGCTATCACTATGCTTTATAACACTTCATTAATAACCTGAACAGAAGTGAAAACTTCATACTAATTAACAGATTCTAAAGCCATCTGCAGTGATGGCAGGTTGATACACAAATCATAACAGGACAGGTTAGCCAGATTCACTCTGCATCACTGTAGAAATAACATTGAAAGCTTTGATCTTGTAGTACAAGATCAACTTTACATGGAGTATTTTACACAATGTCCAGTAAAAACTAATAGCCTGTGTTTTCTTAGAGCTTCTGCTCACAGCCCCAGTGAATGTCCCAACAACTTAGAAGCATGGTTTAAAGCCTGACCAGAATCCTGCAGGGTTTTAACAACATTAAAATTCTTTCATCCAAAAGGACAGAAAGTATTTTTAAAAAAGCAAAAGCCCCTTTAATGAAAAAATAGGTCAAAGCCAAAAAAAAAGTTTGTTCTGGTACTCCCAGAATTCAGGTTGAGCTTAAATTTGAAGCCATTAAAAATAAGTCTCATATCTACACAATAAAGTAAAGCACCCAACAGATGATACAAGTGCCCAAGCAAAAAAGAGCTAGATGTTTAAATGTTAGGCAGGTAAGAAATCACTGCACAATTCGAAGATAGCAGGAAGTTTAATTTCAACTGACAGCATTAGAAAGAACACTTCATCCTGTACAATTCAACTGGAAAAACAAAACTGACAGTACACAGAGGGTAAATGTTTCTGATGCTTTCAAACCCAAACTGATACTTTGCCAATGGTTCTCCACCACACTAATTCCAAACATAAATGCTCTGAACACACAGGTTCAGTACTGTTACTTCCACAGTTGACAGTTTACATTACATTCAATCATTGATTGATCTGTACAGCTCATAATGAAATGATTTTTTAGAAAAACTATTCTAAAGCCAAAACTGATCTGTGAGGTGAGAAACCATGTTTTAGTCATCACTCAAGAACTACTGAACATTCTGAAGATGAGATTTTCAAATACCATACATTGTTTGAAGCCATAGATACACAAGTCAGAATTAACAAGTGTATCTACTACACTGCAGCATCCTAACAGAGGATTGCAAGCAATGCCTCAAGCAGATATTCACTTCTCAGAGTTTAGGTAATACCAAATCACTACAAATTTAGACTCAGAACCAGTCTCTCTCTTGGAGACTACTCTGAAGCTTACAAACTTCAATCAAGCCTGGTGTCAAAGGCAGTAGGGTAGCTTTGAAACAGTGGCTACAAAGATCAGAATACAATGATGTTGTAACAAAACAAGTACTTCTAGTTGCAGTTTAATTTTCCATCTCATACTAGATCAATTCAGTATTTGTAGGTCATCATTAAGTATGGAAACAGCTTCACCACGGAGTGACAATTTTGTATTGGTTACCAGCAGTTGCCATATTACATAGCACTACACATCAATCTAATGTCAAATGAAACATTTACATCAATTTAAGACTAGGCAAACTAATATAGAAGAAAAAAATCAAGACATACTGAAACACTGAATTGCCATTTCATATAAGCAATGTCACAGAAAACAATCAGCAATATAATCAAAAAGATCTGTTTTCTTTTGCCAGAAAACAGAGCATCTTTCAGGATGAATGATCCACAGTTCTTCTAGAAAGCTGTTGTCATACAAGAGGAAAATCTCAGAAAACCCATTTATCAGAAATTATTTCAAGTTTTTAGTGTGTATTCTGATAGCATTTAAGTTAAGCAGTTAGGTGAGCAGTAATAGATACTACAGAGTAAGATGACACAATTAGCAGCATCATTTAACAACTTCATTTCTGAACTGTGATTAACAGGACCTAATCACAGGTACAGTTCTGTCTACAAAACAGGACAGATTCAATGGCTATTAAAGTGTTTTTACCTATTTCATTACCCCACGATCACAGGTGAAATCTCCCACTGCTTTTTGTAGGAGATTCTTCTCTAAAAGCCCTTAAGAAAGGACACATGGCTCTCCTCTTTTCCAGGTCTTAAGTTGGAGAGTATTGTGTGAAGTGTTTTATAGTATTCATTACTTTCTCACTACCACTATTTTTTCAGTCAAAGCTTTTATGAAATACTACATTGATTTTTGTGAAATTACTGCTATCTGAAGGGCATTTTAAAGCACTTACTATAACACTATTAGTTAAAGTATAGAAAGGATATTAGTTCGGTAGCATTGCTTACAATTAAGTACTTACTCTAAGGTTATCAAATCATTAGAATGCTTGGCTAAATGTGCATGTGTCACAGAGAATGAAGTGTTTAATAAAAATGCCAACTCTAAAACCTATTTACTTGTGCTAACCTAACTGAAGCTTTATAAACCACAACCTGTTTCACCTGCACTGTAGCCAAGTCCACAATGAGTTATTCAGGTCACTACCAAACTATCAAATATTGCATAGTCACTATTCAGTATAGTCATAGTATGAGCTACTGTTTCCAGATGTTTTAATCAGCAAGGATTAAAAGGCATCTTCACACTTGAAATGCGACCAAAGCAAGAATTAGTTAGCTTCAAAAAAAACCTTGTCACTCCACCACTTTTCAAATTACTCTACACAAGTTCCAGCAACACATTAACACAACCCCATGATATACACACAGTCTTCATGTCAAAATTAAACCTATCCTGTTTAGTTTCATCTAAACTCTACTCTCCCATGGCCTCTATCAGTTGCTTCCTTCTCTACTTTTTAATACTGATTTGTAATATAAAACAGGTGGTAAGACAAGACAAAACCTCATAGGCATTTAGAATCTTTGAGTCAAGCCACATATTTCCATATGGCAGAGTTAGAATTTAGCCCAGAGGGACTGAATCAATGCCTTGTCAACACTTAATCTACTGAGCAAAAATTCTAGTGTTTCTATACTGAGCTCTTGTCTACCAATGCATCAATTTAAGTAAGAATACTGAAGTACAATGCTTTTCACTACTGCCTTCCTAAGTTGCTTCTTGCCTTAAATACATGACATTTTCTCCTATGAAAAGTGTTTTTTGAGTACAGATCCCACGCTGAGCACACATCTGACAGAGTATCAACCCCATACTGGAAGACCAAAGCATCATTTCAGACTGTGGAACCACCAGCACCCTTTACAGAGTCTTGTAGGCAGACAGCATTCTATCTATTAGTAAGGCAGAAAGTGCTCTGGTACATCTCAACTTCTAGAAATTATGGCTGTCAGTTCAATTTAATTTTTACTTGAAAATTCTTCTCACAGATGCATCCTCATGTGCTTCCTCAGTGTGTATCTATGACTATGCCAACTGCTGGTTTTTTTGGTGGGGGGTTAGATGAAAGTCGCAAGCTCAGGTTTGAGTTGAACAATAGCAGTATTTTATCCTCATCACTTCCAGGAATATGCAATATCCCCACTTGTAACACTTTAAGAAAAATCCACTTGAGCTTCGGGGTAAGACAGCATACTTTACCTTAACTACTTCCCAAATTTTGGGAAGTGCTGAGTAAAGCCTTTAACAGCTAGTTTCAAGTGAGATTATATTTCAAAGGGTGCCCTCCAGCACACCAATAATGCAAAGCTGTCATCAAGGGCAAACGTTTTCACTTGCCAGTTTACTCTCTGAGATTCCTTCTTTGGTCCCCAGAAGTTATACTAAAGGAGTTCAGTAACAGATGCACACAGCAGAAGTGCCATAACAGAAAAGGAACATCACCATAAAAAGAACTTTTCCAAGTTAGCACAGCTTTTCTTGATCATTCTGCTTTTAAAACAGATGAGTAAAGAACAAGTTTACCCTTGATGTGAACAATGCCACAAAACTAAGTTTGGGGTTCAAAATGCCTAGCTTTCATCAAGAAAGTTATTTAATCACCTTACTAAGTTATAATACACACCAGCCAAGGATCAAAATGCAAGAGAAGTTTAAAATTGCAGTTTTAGGGAGATTTGCAGATGCAGCATATGGTTTTCAAGATTCAATTACAGATACTCTAGAGTTTTATTTTAAGGAGTACACAGAGCTGTGCACAGCTTTCCAGGAAGTATTAATTAACTACATCACTATATAGTTTCTTCTCTAAGTTTTCAGATTTAAATATGAAATAGAGACTAAAGTTAGTAGTCCCTCTAAGTAGTAAGATCAGCAAATTGAAGAATCTAGGTCTTCAGCCATACTACCATCCCTTTCTGAGCAGCAACAATAAGCCAGGTAAAGGAGCTCCAAAGCTTTATTCTGTACTTTAACTCATACCTGTTTTACTAAAGACACCACATTAAGCAGTAAGTTTCAGTATTGCCCTTGACTCTGATTCAGCCCATCCATGTTACTAACAGAGGAATACTCTACTCTACAGAAAGCCTTCTGGCACAAAACCCTGCTTTTACACACTGGTCAAAAATTCACTTAAAGCCTTAGTCCTGAACACTTGCTGAAGCTGTTCTCACTACCACATTCCCTCACAACATCTAGAAGTTGCATACCACTTCAGCAACCTGCCAAAGATGCAGATACACAGCCCTACATTAATTTACAAACATAAGTCATTTTCAGGTTTAAAAAAAAAAAGCAGTTCTAAGGTGACCAACAATAGACAAGAACAAAAATTAGGAGATAGTTTTATCACTACTTTCCCAGCATAAAAGAAAAGGGCAAGAAGGAGATTGAAGGTGACGAATTGTAGGCACTAGCCTAGAAACAGTCATAGAGCCCTACACAAGTCTAATGACTGAAGGAGGAATACAAAAAGCATGTGTCATATCAGACTGAAACTGATATCAGAAGAAACTAATCCAGAAAGTGATTGACATGTAATCCTGTCCACCAGCTGATTAAGGGGAAGAGCATATTTCTAGTCCCTCCTGCAGTACTATCAGAGCAAACTTCCTACTCTGCTCATGAGCCTTATTCCTTTCATATTCCAAACTTTGTACCCAGAAGTTCCCCTTTGCACTTCCATGACCAACCACTATACTAAAAAGAGGTTAAAAAACAAGGATATGAAAACAACTTCAGTGAATACCCAGCAATTAGCTGCTTGAAAGTGCTCTGTGTTTAAGTGACTTGGTAAGCCTTTATTTAAAACAATCTGCACAGGGTTTAACTGTAGTTTCAGAAAGGAAGTTTTTTTTTTTTTTTTAAGTCTGCTTATCATTTTGTATTACATGAGAGTCAGCTCCTGCAGCTGTCCTCCTCATGAAATCAGCTTAACCTACTGAATAAACAATACTGGTACACAGAGTTCTCTAACCAGCTTCCAATATGAGAAGGAAAACTGCCAAAAAACATGATCAGGTGTAAGTATGGTTCATTGAAATGGCAACAGAGCAGCCAGTAACACTGCCTAAGTGACAGCCTAATTCTGGTAACAGTTTAGGGCTTATTCATCTTGAAGAACTGCCATAGCAGAGCAGAGGCAAAGACTGCATTTTAAGAAATGCACTTAACTACTTAAATCCTCTTCCCCACCAAAAGTAATATGGTAATATTTTCATTTGTTTTTCACAGATATTTCTAGACAGCTTTATCTTTAAGTCTTCACAAGCAGTCCATTATTAGCTCAAAGTATCTGCTATCCTTTAGAAATTTTATAAGGCATAATCAAATCCAAATGTGAGCTGCTTCTTTTCACCTCAGGACCCTTTTCTTTTTCACTTGCTGAATGAAAGTTCAAAACAGAATTAGCTGCTGAGAATTTGTAACTCTTCAAAAGCTATACCACCACTACTGACAACAGCAAGGAAGTTCACTATGAATCAACTTGGAGTATATTTAAGAAGTGAAGTAGGAATGAGAGCTGAGCAGGACTCTTGCAGTGAGTGGAACCTACAATATCCCTCTCCATGGCACTTGCTGGAGCAGAATACCACACTACTATCCTTGCACCAAAAACAAGGGCACTAAGACATAGTTTCAAACTTAATTCCTTTCTCTACCCCACATAAATTTGTTAGTTACTTGCTACTAGTCAAAATTTAACATTTAACTAGGTGCAAGTGTAGTATTATCATTTCCCAAGAATTCTATTTATTTTAGCATTGATACAAATATCTCTTCATGCTTCAGAAATACCCTAAGTTGATACTTAACTTTGAGTTTCAGATCTATTACATTCTGCAGCCATGAACACTTTTCAAAGCACCTCATTCATAATATTTGACCATGCAACTTCTTAGTAGCTAGCAAGTCTTACACATACAGAAAGCTCTTAGAATTAGGTAGACACCTTCAACTGGAACATCGAGTACATGACATAAGGGTATCAGTGACCAAAATCCAAAGCATAAGAGGAAGACATGCTTTATGAACCCCCACCCAGTTTTAACCAAGTAGTATTGAAAAATTACTGTTACCATGCAGAGCTATGGCTTCACGGAAGGGTTGCAAATCAGTCTCTACAGATGAGCTAGTTTCTGTTGAAGTAGCTCGGTTAGGGGATACTACAGTCAGTCTTGGAGGAGCTCTAGAATTTCTTGGAGGAGGAACTTTTCCACATAGGAAGCTGATCAAGTCTTCTCTACGAATAGTTCTTCTGCGTTTTTTAACCCAAGCTAACACATCCTTATTCCGACGTTGATAGCCAATCTGAATTCCTACATCAAAGCTTCGCTGATGGGCATCCACACTTTCTGCAAGAAGACAAAAGTATTCTTAGCAAATATTACAGATAGAACAAAACAATATATACTATGGTACACCACTGATATGATTTTCTTTCAGCCAAAAGAAATAAGCATGTCTCCTACAGGTTACTCTAATACAGTACCAAGTTTGTAGCAGCGAAAATGAGTCATTAAAACTAAGAAATTTTAATTAAAAGGAGTTAATTAGTTCCCCTTTTTCCCCCTATAACTTTACAAGTCAGAATTTAAACTCCTCAGCAATAGCATTTATTTGCTATACCTGAGGTTAGTACCAGAACACTGAGACAACACACTGTATTAACATTAGAAGCATCCTTTGAGCTGGTCAGTCTGAGACAGATACTTAAATCAGCAGACATGCATTTGCTTAATGAACAGCAGCACACTTCAACTTTCTATGCACTCCTAAAGTACATCAGCAGCATTAGGAAATGCCACATAATTTTTATGTGGTTTTCTCACTGCTAACAGACATGCAATTTTCAGAAGATTCCCATTTCTTTAGAGTCCTAGCTTAATCCATATTTTACATAGAGGAAATTTACAGAAGGCCATAGTTTTGAACCGAGCTAAAAGCAGCATTTCCGACATCTTTCAGTTAGGCTTCTTTTGTAAATATATTACCGAAGATTTTCCTTCCTCATTTAGGAATCCATTACAAGTTAGATATACAAAAGCTTTGAACAGGTATTACTTACAATTAATCCTGCTACAAAATGCAGTATTATTCTCCATTGATGCTATCAGTCACCTGTGCACAACAGTTAACTTCACCTCTAGCAAGCACTTTATTTACTTGTATTACATTGTTCTCAAACATCAACAAGTTCTTCAACTGGTAGCCAAGAAGTACTATCAGTAAATTTCAGAGAACAGATGGAACAAATCATATTCTTTACTCAAGTACGTTATCTTGTTTGCCATGAAAACTACTGCCATGTTAGCTCTCACTCCATTCAAAGTGAAAATAGCACCCACTCCAACTCAATTCACTTGACTTCCAGATTTGTTTTTAAACTTAAAGACAAAAGAAACTGCTTTCAAATTCTTCCTTTACTACTGAAGTCCAACATAAAAGCCATTTCCTCAAAACAACGTTGAGACTTATGAACAGCTGTCCAAGATATTGGTTTACAGATAAACAGAGATATTCACATCTAATCTATTTCTCACATGCAAGAACAAGAATAACCACTTAAATGCCAATCTTGGACATTATTTTAAGGCACCGCTGGATGGCCCATAAAGGAGTGCTAGAAAATTACCAAGTAACAGCATTTCAAATATAGCACAACTTAACAAGGAAGGAAATACTGGATATTTCACTGTAAACCACATAAAGTATGTTCAGTACACTAACATTATCTTCATGCACTCTTTTTTAGAATACTTTCCTATGCTGCTTGGTAAGCAAAGGACTGAAAGGTCTACAAAAGCTAAGTCCTGTCAAAGCAATGGCAACTTGACAGATTATTCCTCCAGGCACTTTAACTCCATACTATCTCTGACTCCAATGCAATATGGCAAGAGCTACCCAAACTCCTCAGAGCTAGTCTGGAAGCTGACAGCAGACCTTTAATCCCTTCCTGAAATACCTTGAGAAAGCCCTAAGAGATGAAGAGGCCAGCTCTACATCAACAAGCCTGCTCTCCTTGGATACAAGAACACTTGACAAAGGGCTAACTAAGGTCAGTTATGAAGGCAGCCACTGACTGTCAACGTACCCTGGGCAAATTTCAAGCATCATTACCCTAGGAAAGATCAGGCATTAAAACCTACAACTGCTTTGTTCACAAAGTCAGACTGACAAGATATACAAGCAGTCAAGTTGCCTACATTTCACAATTACAAATACTAAAATTACTAAAAAAGTTACATTTTTCAATAATAAGGTAAACTGTGCACTCAGAAAATCATCAGAATGACTAAAACCCTACCCTTACAAACCAGATATTCACTTTAAGTGAAAATAGAAATTCACAATCCAGATGATCTTCAGATCATGGTACAATAATAAACTTATTTTGAAGAAAATGCTAATATACATGCAATCACACTACTTGCCCTACACACTGTTTCTTACACTGCTCCCATTAAAGGCTTCGATGCCTTGAAGTTATCAAACCAGAAACCCAATGGGGCAAGAGAAAGTAGGTAACATTTAGTTCACAGTACCTAGCACTTCAATGTTTTGTCAAAATTCCTTTGAAATAACTATTACTGAATGTGTGAGGAAGCCACAGGAGGTTTTTAAAGATTAATTTTGTTTATCACTCGAGGCAAATTCACATTAGTGGACTCTTTACTTGCAAGGACACCATGGTCTAGATGATCCTAGGCATGTTCTCCTACCTTCTAAGGGGACTTACTCAATTGGGAATCTAGCGAGGACTGAAAGGAAGACTGCAGTTTTGAGTAACTAAGCACTTAAGTCTGTTTAAGAGAAGTTTCAGATACTCCTTTGTGAAGTATTACATGATATCTGCCTGCAGACAGCTTCCTATTTTAATTCCAGTTTCCCTGATCACTGAGAAACTACATAGTCTTCTCTTAACCACATTATTGCAGGAAAATAGGTCTCATTTAACTTGATTACTTATATTATAAGTTATAAGTAATTTAAGCAAAAATTAAGGCAGTAACAAGGACATTGGAAAGGACATCATCTGCAACAAACTAATAATTCTAGATAATTTACGACCTGCTGCTCCTCTGGCACTATGCTCAAGAGGCTATGGAGCCTGTCCATGTTTGAGCAGCTCTCTCCCTCAAGGTGAGCATCTACCCCATTACATGATGGGCTGCCCCTTTATGCGACTCACAACACATACAGAATAGTCATACACACTTCCTGCAGGAGAGATGATCACTGCTAGTGAGGTTCTTTCTCTACATTTCCTTTTTGCTTCCTCCACAACCCTCAGAAATCCAATGAGCCAGAAACATGCTCAGTCCAAGTAAATCCCACAAACCAGGAAATTCAAGACAAATGAAAAACTTCCAGTATGTTCTACATACCATGCTGTACAGACCAAGAAAAACACTCTCAGAATTTAAAGAAAAACAGCAATCTGAAACTCAAAAGTTTGCCCTTCTTCCTAGTAATGGAAGGCAGTAATTACAGGATTCACACTTTGGCAAACTCATTCTCTGCTCATACAACTACTGAACAACCCCTCTGAAGCAAAGAACTCTTGTACCAATCTAAAGAACAGCAGAGTTCAGAAACAGATCTTGACAGATAGAGTCAAACAATACAACAACAGCCATAAGTACAAGGAGCACAAGCTTTGGCTAAGACCACCCTCTTACCATCACCCTAATGACTGTCATGAATGTTGCTTAAAATAAAGTGGGAGACTTCTGCAAGGCTCACTTTAAGGGCCTCAGTGGCACAAGAACAAAGTTTTTTTATAAAAATCTATATGCAGAATTCTGCAAACACTAAAGCCAACCTACACTTCAGTGAAAATGCACGCACATTGTACTGACATCCCAGCACTCCATACACAACAAAATAAAAGCTATGTAGACACTGAAGTCCTGCAGAAGCTCTTTCACTCTTCCCTTGAATCGGAAGAGGCACACTAAGAACATCCTCTTTCAAGGGTCTCAGAGCAAAACAGCCTTTAAGTTGTTAGTCACTGACATGAGGCAACAGAAAAGATTCAACTGCTGTCAGCTAAAATGGCACAGGGAAAACTCTCAAGATTCAGGAAGCAGTCTCGGCTTAGATTTTATCAGGGTGAATAAGAGACATTAGCAGGCCCTGCTTATGAGTAAGCCGGGGCAGGAGGCCGAGCGGGCCCGGCTCAGCGGGGAGGGCCACGGGCAGCAGCCCCTTACCTTTGTAGAGGTTGGTGACCGCAGTGGCCGCGTTCTGGAAAGGGACCCAAAGGGAGAGCCCCGGCTGCTGGCACACCCGGTCTGCAGGGAGGGAAGGACACACGCTGTTTATTTTGGAGTCGCTAACTCCGAACGGCCATGTTAGGTTTCGCCATTTTGTTCCACCTTCCGAAGGCGGCTCGGCAGCGGGACCGGGAAGGGCGGCCGGCCGTCGGGCCGGGCCCGGGTCACGGCGGCGGCTGCCGGGGCCGCGCGGGGAAGCGCCGAGCCCTGCCCCCGCCCGCAGCCCCCGCCGCACAATGGGGCCGGCCCCGCACTTCGCCATTTTGTCGGCGCTTCTTCCCCGGGCTGGGCGGCAGCCGCCGCCGGCACAGCCGTCCGTCCCCTCCCCGCCCCGCCCGCGGCTCACCTCCGCGGCGCTCGCCCCGCCGCCCGGCCCCCCGCTCCCGGTCCCCCGCGCCGGCGGCTCCGCAGGCTCCTCCCGGCGGCTCCCCGCGCCGCCACCCCGGGCCGAGCCTTCCGCCGGCGGCCGCGAAGGGCGACGTTCCTCGGCCGCCCTCACGCCATTTTGTTTCCCCGTCCGCCTCCACGGACGGGCGCGGAGCCCCCCGTGCCGGAAGCCCGCTCCTCCCCCCGCCCGGCCGTCCCGCCGCCACATCCCCTTTGTGGGGCCGCGGCCCCGCTCGCGCCCCGCCCGGCCGCCCCGCACCGCCGCCCCCGGGCCCCGCCGCCCCCCGCCGTTCCCTCCCCGCGTCCCCCCGGCCCTCACCCTTGTACAGCTGGGCCACGGCGGTGGCCGAGTTCTGGAAGAGGTGCCACAGCTTCTGCTGCTTGTGCTCGGGCTGCGCCGCCGCCTCGTCCTGCAGCTCCGGCGCCAGCGCCTCCTCCTGCTCGGCCTCGGCGAGACACTGCCGCTCCCACTTGCTGAACCAGTGCTCGGGCCCGTGCTCCTGGATCTCCGCCTCTCCTTCCTCCTTCTTGTCCTCCATCCTCCGGCCGGCTCCGCGACCCCTCCGCCTCCTCGCGGGCCCGGCCCCGCCGAACGGCCGCGCTAACCCTCCTTCTTCCTCTTCCTCCTCCGCCGGCCCGGCCCTACCTCACCCCCATGCTGCCGGGCCCCGCCGGCCCGTCCCCCAGCTCCAAACACACTGAGCGCCGGCGCCGCCCCGAGCGCAATAAAAGCCCGGCGGAGCCGCCCGAGAACGCGCAGCCGCCCGACTCCGCCCCGCGGCGCCATTGGACGCCCCCACCCCGGCACCGCCGGTTTGAACGGCGGCGCTGCGCGGCACTGGCTCTTCCTCACGTCAATCCGGCCGTACGTCACGGGGGGCGGGGCCGAGCGGCGGACGGCTTGTGTCGTCATCGACTCGTGCGCAGACGTTGCCGGCCGCGCGGCGCAGGCGCACCGCCCTCCCCCGCCGCCTCGGCGCGGCCTCGCCCCTCCCCCTGGCGTGAGGTACGGCCCTGAGGCGGCCCCGCCCGCCGCCGCCCCTCGCCGCCCCTCGCCTCACGCCGGGTCCGCGCGGCGACTGAGGGCCTGAGGCGAAGATGCGGCTGCGCGCGGCCGCGGTTCGGGCGGGGTGGTTTTGTCGCTCTTGCCGTATCGACGCCGGGGCGGAGTGAGGCGGTGCCCCGCCTCGGGTTTTCCCCCTGCTGTTGGGGGAGGGGGCGGCGAAGACCGTAATCGTCAGCCGGCCGCGTCGTGACCCGGCGGAGGGGCTGATCTGCGCTGACGGATGGCTGCCCCAGCACGGCGGGAAGATGGCCGCCGGCCGGCGCGTCGCGGTGCCTGCAGGCCTGGCTGTGTGCTGTGGGCCGGGAGGGCTGCGTGCAGCGCTCGTACCCTTCCGACTCTTTTCCTACCGTGTTTATATCTTACTTATCGTTTGCTTTGTGTCAGAAGGCATTCCGACAGATAGACATAACACAGGATTCCTTCGTGCCCGCTCAAAACGGTTCTTCAGAGCACCTTACAGTCTCCTCAGAACACTCCAGCGTGCTCCAGCCACGCTGCTTTCAGTCAAAGCAAACGCTCCCTGCAGCCCACGTGCAAGGCAAGCCGTGGCTCGCCATAGACGCTGCTGTGCGAGCAGGCACGTGGTGCTTCCCGCTCTCTGTGCCCCCTGTGAAATACCTGGGGCTCCACAAATAACTGGCTCCAACCACGCAGCACCTGATGCAGTGCAATGCCCTTGCGTGCTGGGAGCAGGGAACCTCCTGTCCGTGGTCACGAGCCAGCACATAGCTCTGAGGGCACGGCCGGGCTCTGGCTGCAGCGCTGCGCTGCACTGTGGGAGTTGTAGTTTCCCAGGGCTGCCAGGGAAACGCAGGCTTTGCTGCGGTGCAGGAGGAACAGTCAGTGAGGAAGTTTCCTTGGCCCAGCAAGGAGAGCTGGGGGAAGATGAGTGAATGTGTGTTAGAGCAAGGGAGGAGGATGACTTTGCTAGGCACTCTTGCAAGGGCAGCCTGGCCAGGAACGAGCAGTGAGGCAGCAGTGAGGAGCATTCTCCAGCAGAAGGCCTGGCAGCACGTGGTGACTGCTGGCCTCCTAGGAGAGGACTTGGGTCTCACGTGTAGCTGAGATGAGGGTGACAGTGGATTCCAGTGACAAGGGTAAGAGAGAAGGACTGTAGTGATGCATCCCATCCTCTTTTTTCATCCCAAAGAGAGAAGAGATTTACACCTCAATTTGTGCCTCAAATAAGCTCTTAGGCCAAGAGGGAAACTGAGCTTGTTGCTGTATCGTAATTTTAGCACAAGCATGATACCAGTGCAAGTATGTAATTCCCTATTCTAGAGCTGGAGATGCTGATATAAGCTAGATATCAATAGATACATAATTTACTGTCGTGCTAGCTGTAAATTATTTAACTGTTTGGGTTTGGCTTGGTTTTGTTTTAATGCAGGCCTAAATTAGGAGTCCACTGAGTCAAACTTACTTAACAGCTACAACGTAAGTTAGCTCTGCAATTCTCAGTAACTGGAATTTCTAATGGCATTGCTGTCAGCTACATCGGTTCCAAGAATCCTTCCTTAGTTTCTTCTGTACTAGTCTTGTGAGCAGGACAATGCACTCTGAGGATATTGGCCAATATCAAGCTCCTTTATGCTTCTAGAGATGTTTAAAGTGGAATTAACGTGGGTTTAAGTCATTTTGTTCTTAAGACACGCAATTTATTTTATGGGTCAGGCTGAATTGTGATAAAAAACAAACATCCTTGTATTGCTTTATGGCCAGTCTTCACATACCAAGCATGTTTTCTCTCTCTCTTTTTTTTTTTTTTTTTTTTTTTGCCTTCCTAGACCACTGAGACTAAGAACATCTTGCTTATGGGTTGTGCTATGCCACTCCATTTGAGTAGAAGGGAGTATCCATGCCTGTGCACATTTTTTTGTAAGTACTTTCTAACACTAATGCACATATACAGAAACGTGGATATTGTCTTCCATTCTAGGTATGGCTCTGTCAAGTCCTTGGTTAGGATTAAGAACTTCAGCAGGTTTGGAAATAATCCTAGGTGTGACTTACGGGGGGTCTTTGTGAATGTACAAAGGTAGCATTGAAAGGAAGGAAATAATAAATAAATAAATAGATTAAATATTGACAGTCTATGAAATTGTTTTGTAAATCTTGCATTGATCAGTAGGCTGTTAAGTATATACCATGCTGAGATAGATTTTTCTCCTGTGAAACTGTTTTAAGGAAAACAAAAAGTGAAACTATGCTCTCTGTTGAATAGGATTTCTTACAAGCTACCTATAACTTGGAGATGTTCATTCTTTATGTTCTTAATTGTTTAAATATTGGAAGGCATCAAATAGGAATGTCTGATGAGATTGCGTTCAAATACTACTCCTATAAATAGGTCCTTAAATCCATTTCCCTTATCAGACCTTGCTCCATAGGTGACCAGAAATGCCCCTGTCAACTTTGGAGGGCTTTCCAGATGCCATCTGTAAGATCTGAGATCAGAAGCTAACACGTATAGTTTGGTGTAGGAGAGGGCATGGCTCTCCTGGATTTTGTGTGCCATACATCTGTTTTTCTGAATATTTCTAAGGAGTTGCATAATGTTGGCAACTCTGAAATAAACAGTTGGTTACTGCAATACAGTGTAGTGTTAGTCATGATTTATGAAGCATACAGTCCTGACATTTGGCTATGACTGATGCCCATTCAATATAAACCAAGCAGGGAGATACGTTACGTAATCCTGGGTAAAAATACAGCAGTCAGATTTCCTGGTTTAATTCAGAGAAACCTGGCTACATGCATTTCTCAGTACCTACAGCTGGTAGAAATTCCTGATAGAAATAGATATAAAGAGGGATATTTTCCTTTCTGCTTGTATAACACCAACTACTACTGATTGACATTGGAGTTGTACTGAAACAATCTCTGGGACTGCAGTGTGAAGAGGCTTGAGAACTGGGATATTGAATTTTTCCTGCATATTATCAGATCGTTTTTAATTACATGTAGTCCATAAAATTAGAAATTGTCACTTTTTAATAGGATTGGTTGAATAATTTTAATGTGGTCTACTAACATTTTTATGCCATATGAATATAAAAAGGGAGCTAGAGACCTGGGAAGAAGTCACGCATTTTCTGGGACTAGAAGAATAATGCAGCAAAGAAGTTCTTGATAACGAAGGCAAAATTGATTGACTTTTCTCAGGTTAATTGTCGAGGAGGCAGCAAAGGAGAGAAGAGAAAGGAACAGCACAGTATATAAACGTACACTGTTGCACCCAACCACTCTTCTCCCTGATGCCTCCTGAGAAGCACAGTGCCTATATCTTCTGGGCAATACTGAGTTATTAAAGAATTGTTCTTCCCTGTAAATTAAAAACAAATTCCATGCTGATCCATCATGACCTCCTACCCTAAGTAGCCTGGAACAAATGCAGCTGTGCTGGTATTGGGTGCTTTTAGGTCATTTGTCTTGGCTAGAGTCAAATGCAAAAAGACTAGAAGATCAATGGCTGATGCACAACAAATGTGGCATCTGAGTAATCTTGGTGTTTTGCCTCTTAATTTCCCCCATGGGAATGCTGTAGTGATGAGAGCAGCATGGCATCCTGACTGAGGTCTCTGGGGAGATAATTACTGGAGCATGATGAGGGTATGCTAATTGTAGAATGCTCTGAAGACTTGTTTTATTCCCTTAGCAGACTCTTACTGGGAGTTGAATTTAATGATAAATAATGGAAAACATCTTTTTAAATATGAAAATATGAAACTGGGGGAGAAGGAGAGTTTATTGAATAATAAATACTCAAGATATGCAGCATTTGTTAATATTTGAGTATTTAGATGGTTGACTATTGACATGAAAATGTTTTCTCAGAGCTGTGGCTACATCAGAGAAAATTTCTCATGTACAAGAGAACTCTTGTGGTGTTAGATATTGGGGGAACTGAAGAGAGCATGTATTCATTTCACCAAAGCATAAAAAAAAAGCTCTGAGTATTTTTATTTCTATTCACTATTTGTCCTTTGGACTCAGACTGTAGATGTGTCATTCCCCCCTCCCCTCCCCACCAAAAAAAAAAAAGTAATCAGGGAAGGAAATTGCTCAGCTGAAAATTGTAATGTTTCTCAGGCAAAAGTTTTCAGTGCAAGTAAACCTGAAGTAAGTGTGAGAAACAAGGAGCAGGTATTTCTGGGAAGGCTGGCTTACAAAGACCGTGGCACACTGACTGTTGGTACCAGATAATCAAGACAGTTTAACTTGTTATTGATGCAGTCAGCTGGGCTTTATTTATATTGACTTGATACTACTGTTCCTCTCTGAAGAAGCTGAAGAAGTGGAAAACCTGGGAGGCAGGAAAGAAAGGAAATAGAATGAAGGTATTTATTTTCTAGTTTGTGTCCCTAGGTAAAAGAATGTCTTCAACACACATAATCCAAACACAGAGGTGGATAAGCACTGCCTAAAAGCTACCTGAGTGGCATTTTGCATGTTAAAGTGTTAATAACCTCGAAGACAAAGAATACTACAATGGTGTCTGCATCCCTTCTGTGATTTCCTGTGGGCACATCAGTAATAGCTCTTTTAAAACTGATCAAAATGCAGTCTTGTAAAAGCAACTTGCCACTATGTGACTAAAATTTGGTCAATTTATTTTTGCCTAAAATAGATATTCTTGAATGTTGGCCTCAGAAGCCTGCTCAGTATGAGAAGGAAAGCAGAAAGTTCTCAAAACCTCATGTCAGGGCTCTGTTTTCAGTATGATTGAACAACTGTTCCCTTGAAATAAGCGGTGCTTCTAGCATGGCAAAATAAAGCACATGGTGAATGTGCAGTTGTTCTGCTCATGACTTAGAGCAGCTTGATCTTTTTTCCTGCCATAAGAACTGCTCGGAAAGAAGAACTCTGCTTATCAAGAGCACTTCTCTGAAGAGTGTTTTTCCCCCAGATTCAAATTTCCAGTGAATCATCAGAAATGAAAATAATTTCTACATAGCAAATTAATTAATATTCAAGAATGAGATCCTGTTGTTTGCTGTACGCAAGTGCAAGAGCTGATCTTTGCTCTGAAGGACTAGCAATTAAAGCACAAAGGAAGAAAACAGCCAGTATCGTATTTTCATGATGCAGGATAAATGAGCAGATAATAGAACAACTTTGTTAGTCTACGCATAAGCAGTATTTCTGTTGTCAGTAGAAAGAAAGATTGATTTCAAAGCTGAATTCGGTCTGGGACCATTTATTATGATTGCCATAATTGTGGCCCAATCTAGATGTTTTTACCTCAAATTCAATCCCAAATCTAGGCCCAAGGTTGCAGATTCAGTCCCTGAGGAGAAACAATGTCCAATAATCTGTGATTACTGCAGGTCAAAGTCTGACTGTAAAGCATCATAATCACTCAGTGCAGATATATGACTGGCCTATAAAACAAAAAGACTATGGAATAAATGAAAGATTGGATAAAGCCATTGTGGGCCATCTGAGTGGAGTTTCCTTTGCTCATAGAGCACATGGCTTGCTCCATTGACTTCATGAGACAGGAAGCCAAGGCTTTTAAAAATCCCTAATAGGATATAAATGAAAGCAGGAGTTCTCCATGAGATCTTGTAGTGCGATGCTGGGATGTTTGGCAGTACCTAAATTGCTGCTGCTGGCAGGCACTTCACCACTTACTGTCACTCATTAGCTGAAGGAGCTGCAGAATGCCAAAGGTCTGCAGCAGGTTGCCTGCATGCTCCTATAGGCAGTTATGAATCACTGCAGCGTTTAGCTTCTCTCTTTTTTTAGAGCATCACAGGCTGCAAAAGCCGCTTTGCAGAGCGGCTGGGAATCACAGGCAGCAGGAGTGTTTCTTGAGTTAACCCTGTGCTCAGAGAAGGCTTTTTGTTTCTCAGCAAAGCATCAGGGTATAAGTTACTTTGTTTTTCTGTTGTCAGCTTACCTGCATACAGTTGGTAATGTCACAGAACTCAGCACTTCTGTAATCAAGAGGCAGAGTAATAGCTAGAGCTTTAATTTACGATGTAGCCTTTTGGGGTACAGCCATAACAAAACTCATTTTATACTGGTTGTAGCATTGAACAGCAGAGATCCCAGAATCTTTTTACACCTGATTTTGTTGCAAGTGAGAATACATTTGCTCCTTTTATCTAGTAGCACACATCAGTCCTACAGCTGAGCTTCTCCCAGCCTCACTGATGGTACTTGCTGTGCACAGAAGGGGTGCAGGAGGGCTGGGTTGTGCTGTGCATACAGAGCTCTGCAGGAAACATTTGAGCAGGATTAACAGTCTGAATAAGGCACGAAAAGCAAGCTTCCAGATAAAACTTGGAGGCTCAGCACAACCTGCACTGAAGCTACTGGGCATTTTGCATGTTTGGGATCAACTGAACCCAACTTAATTTTTTCTTTACATACTGTGCACAGCTGTGCATGGAGGTGGGTAGTAATGCGGGTAGAGTTAGCTATGAATTCCCTGATTCCAAGTTCAACAGCAGCGTCCTTTCATTGTTGTCCAAACAATATCCAAATCTCACTCTATGCTCTCCTTAGTCAGTAGAGTAGAAAAAAATAACCAAACCACCTGCTCCTATGTTGTAAGAACTGACTGTTCACGTTTAAAGAATCTCAAGTGCTAAATATAATATTTGCAGTTCTGCATCTCAGCTATTGGCAGATTCAATAGCTTTTGAATACCACTGATCTCTTGGGATGCTGGCCAGGGAAGACTTCATTTAGTTTGTGTGGGAGCAGGATACATAGCACTTCCAGAAATGGCTCTTCTAGATTTCTCCTAAGTTCTCCACCTGTATAAAGGAGACGATCTATTCCTAAATGGGTATAGAATTACAACCATCCTTCCAGGGATCGCAGTCGTGTCAGTTCTTCAAAATCTTCTTATTAATCTTTCGTAAGTAAGCATGTTGTGCTAGCAAACTGGGGAAGTTAATTGAGTTAATTTGTAGTGGCATTGACTGGTGCATCACTGGTATGGATAATGTATGCAGTTTCTCTTCCAGAATGTTTTTTTTTTTTCCTAGTTCAAGGAAAGTAAGCATGTTGTCCTATTGATTCCAGAAGTGCTTTGTGAAATGTCTTCTTTCTCCACAAAAATTGTGCAAGGACGGATTTTTGTCATGAAGTTTTAATGAGATGTTTAGAATGAAACACAAGGGAAATACTAACAAACAAGGGGTTTAACAAACAAGGTCTGGATTAATGGATATAACATGATGTTATCACCTCCAGCTGCCTACTTGGCATCTGCCAGAAGCCACTGCCGTGCTGGCAGGGACAGCAGGGCTGCAGGAGCCCAACCATCAGCTGTCCCAAATCACCTCTTTTGGGGTCACGCTGTGAACTGGGACACTTTTGTCCTGGTGAAGGCTGACTGTACAGCAGAGGAGGGAGCATGTGAGGAGCATGGATAAAACTTCATCTTATAGAGCCCTTCCAGATCATTAAATCTCTGCACTATGTGCTATAAGAAGAGGGCCCCAAGAGACTGATATGAATTGAAGGGATTTGAGAGATCCTTTTCTAGCTTTGACCCCATTTTTCAATACCTCTCTTCATCACAAGAGCGACGTTACTCGTGCTTCCTGTTGCTGCTGTTTGATAGAGTGCAGAGGACTTCAAGTGGCGCTGGAGCTGGGACCCAGGCTTCAAGTGCTATTTCAAAACTCAAATACATCAGTTTTCTTTGAGAAGCAAGGATAGGGAAGGATTGGTGTTGCAGAGTGGAAACACTTGGATGGGGCAGTTTCTGAGTTGCTATGGAGATAGTATGTCCTGCTGTGCTCTGTTGTAACGGACATGGAAATACAATGGGTTATAACCCATTCCACTGTCGATTTATGAGAGTTTTGGACTAGTTACTCCAGAGCGTGTTCTTCTCCCCCACAGCTATAGTCACTTGTTGTCAACAAGTGTTCTGTAACTCTTCCTGTATTTTACTCCTGGGAATAGAACAGAATTAGGCCCTTAAATCCAATAAATATGGCAGTGGGATAAGTTTCCTTTCTTTGATTTTTTTTTTCTTTTGCATTTTCTTTGCCTTTTACTCTAGATTTGAAGCTGTGGCTCTGGCCTTACAGTTGTAGGTAGTTTGGGTCATTTCTGCTTACTCTTAGCTTTCTGGCTCACCCCTATTTCACTCCTGGGAGGTGAGAACAGTGTGAAATCCAAACCCACTTTAACCAAGGGCTCAGTCACTGGAAGTGTCCTCACACACATTTCCCTCCATTTCTTTTATGTCAGCATTTATAGCTGTGTACCCCGTAGCAAATTAGACCAGCTTGTAAACTAATTGCTTTATCTTACTGTGTTTGAAAAAGAGTGGTTTTCAGTGGAATTGGTTCCTCGAGCTAGCTCACATGTGATGTGGGGAGGGTGAGACACATCCTGTGACAGAGCAAGCTTCCATCAATGTAACATCATTAAGTAATGACAGCTAAATATCGGTTTTAATAATTATTTTCTTCTGTAGATAAAATATTAGCTGTCTAACCCCTTCCCCTTTAAATTGTCTTTTGGGGAAGAAACATTAGACATTGGCCTTCTCTACAGAGAAAGTATCTACTCAGATGATGGGAAAAATCATAAATAATTCCAGCCCAACATGCAGAATGAATAAAGCATGCTTGAACAGCTCTGTTCAAATCTATTGTTAATTCTGTGTCCCCATTAGGAGTGCAGCTGCATCAGGCTCTGCTGCCAGCCCGTGGATTCACATCTTTGCTGGTCAGGAAGCTCCCAACCTTCATTAAAATGCACTTGTGTCTATGGATGGGAAGCCCGAGGTGTGGCAGCCTGCAGGACCTGGAGTGGCTGTTCACAATGAGAATGCCGGAGCCTTGTCATATTTGGAGGGTTTGTTTGGTTTTGTTTGCTGGCTTAGTTCTGTCAGAGTTTTGAAGAGCCTGAACCTGACCGCTCCTAGCAGGACAAGTTTGGTTGCTTAGTGCTTTCCTGAAACCTGGCTCCAGATGCTTGTGACGTGCTTTCAGTAGTGCTCATTTGCTCTTGTTAGGTATTTTGTGAGTTCGTTTGGGGCTTTCTGAGGCCAAATCATCACAGAGGCAGTGACGTGATCAGATGTTTAATATGCTTTTCTGCCTGCTGTGAATTCTTCCGATTCTTTTTCTCAAGCTTTGCTGCTTGTGCTTTTTTTTTTTTTTAATTACATTGTTCTCCTCCACACGACACATCATGTTTTCTACATCGTATTTTCTTCATTTTGGTGAAAATTAACATAATGTATCTAAAAAGGTGCATTTGTATTCATTTCTGCCATCTAAAGACCAGTGTGCAAGGTCTGTAGTTGGGAAGCAGTTGAAGTGGGATGTAAAAATACACATGGGCAAGGAAATGCCCAGATTTCCTTGTCTAGAGCAGGCTTAGTGCCTTGGCTCACTGTGTGCTGCAGCAGGCAGCTGGAGGGGTGTAGAATGAGGACAGTGGAGGAGAACATTTCTTTCAGCGTACAAATCTTTCCTGGGGAAAAAAAAGAAAAGATGTTAATGTGTTTGAAATAGTAATACGTGCTTCTAAATAGCCTAGAAGCATCACACTGAGTTAGAGATGAGAAGGCAAGAGAGATACCGATGGTTTTCATTTTGAGGACTTAATACTGCACTTATGAACTTTTATAGCTGTTCCACCTGAATTTGTGATGGTTAGATTATCCCTTGGCTTTAACCCAGTGCAGAATATTTTTAATATTCACTGCTGTACAGTTCAGCAACTATAATAAAATAATTACAGATGCCATTAGCTGAGTTATTGTCCCTATCTGGGTGTATTTCAATGGATAATAACCTAATAAAATTAGCACTTAACTTCTCTGCTCAGAAATGAACATGAAACGAAAGCTTATTTAACTGGTCTTACTTAACAGGATCTGAAAATTCAGAACTTATTTTCCTAAATTTCAATGCTCAGTGGCATTCAGATGAGGACACATTTGAAAAATAGAAGAGAATCTCCATGTTTACAGACCATGCATGGGAAAAGAGAACTGAGCGGCAAAGCCCTCATCTCCAGCTCCACAAGTGGTGCAGAAAACACATCGAGTTGTCTTCATGTCTCCTTGGTGAATGGCGTGTGATTGTGCCTGCCATGTGAACAGCAGGCATGGTCACACGAGTGGCAGGTAAAAAGAGGGAGGTCTCTGTCTGAAAGCATTTGCTCTCCTTCCCTAAAGCTTGTCTTTGAGAGAGGCTTCCGGATCCAGAAGGATTGGGAAGGCAATAAATCCAAAGTGATTTTGATTGGGAAGGAGCAACAATGGAAAAGAATGAATTGGATGACAAAGTGATTGTTAGTGTTCACCTTCAGTGTCTGTTAATTCTTCTGCACTGATTTTCCCTGGGGTGTTATTAGTTGGAGGACTAGAATTGGGGAGGAAGTGAAAAGAGGAGATTTCCATTCCTCTCTGGGCTTCTTTGCATCCTTCCCATTAGCTGTGCCCATGTTGCTGGCAGGCTCCAGGCCAGAGGTGCTGATGGCCAGCCCTCACACTCACCTCTGATCTTTAAAATTGTATCTTTGTTTTACATGGTGTAAGTCATAGAATTTCCAATAAATAACTCTTTAATGTGAAGCCACTGACAGCAGAGATTTGTGCTGCAGTGCATTTGAACCAGTTTCAAATTCATATTGTATTTCTCAGATAGGTTTGAGAACAGCACTGTAACCCAGACACGTCCCAGCAGCTGCAGAGCTGTGAGCTCCCATCAGGCATTCCCTCCAGACACTGCTGGGGCAGTCGGATGCTGTCTCACCTCACCCAGTTGTCTGAGCCTTCACATCCTTCACCCATACACACCATACAATGTCAAAGCGTTTCATTCACATGGCATCCCCTGGGGATGGGAATTGTGACAGTGAACCCAGCAGTGCAGCAGGTGAAAAATACCTGCACAGGCTGTACCTCCCCCCCCCCCCCCCCC